AGATCATGCAAGAGATTTATGTCAGCTTTCTTTTCTAATTATTTTATCTCCTACTTGCAATATACAATGCCACCATTGGGTTTTAGAGATACGAGTAAAATTAAAAGTGGGAGGTAGAAAGACCTGGCTCCTTTGTCCCTCCACTAGCAGAGTTCTCTCCATGCTATGGCTGCACAGTGATGTACAATTTCAATTTTCCTGTCTGGCCCACAGAGCTATGAGTATATAGCTTCTCTAACCCAGCATAGGATGACTTCATCCATATTAAAGAACATCAAAACATTCTAAAACCATCTTTCCTGCCATGTTATTCTTTCAACACCCCTCTCAACCCTACTTTCCTCTTCTAACAATTGCAGAAATGCAATCTTTCTTCATGCTAAGTTATCTATGTCTCTCAACTTCTTTTCTCTCTCCCAATGCTTGTAAGCCACCAGACCTCTGGAGTGAATTATAAGAGAAGTGTTTCTCAGTGACAGGATACAACCTGTAGATCCATCTCATCACTTTAGCAGTGACAGCCAAGTCATGAGCCTTGGTTGTGTTGAAAAGCTCAACATAATTGTTATCACCCATGTCAGTTGCTCTGAATGTCTGATAAGATGCACAATGACAAGTTTTCAAGTAATTTCTATTTTAAGAAGGCCAATGTTATTGCTTACCTTGCTGAATAAAAAAAAAAATGCATGCACTTTACATAAAATCCATTAGATGTTCTTCTAATCAATGCAATTTCCTTGAAACTACTTCAGAAAAATAACAAAAGTACGAGAGAGAGAGAGAGAGAGAGAGAGAGAGAGAGAATGGCTGTCTTCTATATTTCTATATGTGCCCTGACCAGGAATAGAACCTGCAATCTTGTATATCAGGACAATGCTCTAACCAACTGAATTACCAGGCCAGGGCTTGTGCCACATCTTCTTTATTCAGTCCTTTATTAAGGACACTTGGGTTATCTCCATGTCTCAGCCACCATGAATAATGCTGCAATGAACATAGGGATGCATATATTTTGCGAATAAATGTCTTCAAGTTTTTTGGGGCAGATATTCAGAAGAGGGGTTGCTGGGTCATATGGTAACTCTATTCTTAGTTTTTTTATAAAGTATGTTTTTATTGATTTTAGAGAGTGAGGAAGGGAGAGAGAGAGAGAGAAACATCAGTGTGAGAGAGAAATATCGATCGGTTGCCTCCCTGATGCACCCTGACTGGGGATTAAACCCACAACCTGGGGATGTGCCCTGCCTGGGAATTGAGCCACAAAAGACCAA